TGAGGCCTCCCTCAGCACGTTCGGCAACTTCCTTTTAGGCTAAGCAGGGTACCAAAACTCCCAAGGAGCGAGCATGGGGTGGAAACACCCATATAATCCTATCACTTATGAGAACAAATTGATGCACAGAAGCCATAGTACCACTTAACGGATAAGACAGTTGGTCCATCTGCGCTCGGTCCATCTTCTCTCATTTCTCTTGCTTGAATTTCTCAGGAGCACAACGCAATCCGGTTATCCAATAAGTTACCCTGGTAGGTGGATTTTCATTGCGTGGCATCTGTTGCAGAGTAATGGACGTAGGAGGTGCTGGTAATTTTGTGGCATCCTTGTTTTGATGATTTTGGTGGACATGCATAGACACTTGGTTTTGTTTTTGAAGTATTTGCGCCACTCAGTACTGTTGGCAGGGTGTAGTGCAACGGCTCCCAGAGAGGAAGCTGTTGGAAAATAACAGATATTCTTGTTTCTACATGCTCATTGTGTGCCTTCATATCAGAAAGCTATGTTGCTGACCCAGTTATTTACAAGTTAGTACGCTCTTACTGACATTGTGGCCGCGCACCCAAAAACCAGTGGCGTTTGCAGTTGAAGTTCAAACGTTGCTCAAGATTTTCTGGACGGGAGTCTTGTCGTTTGTGTCCGGACACATGTTCAGCGCTCCCCGTGTTTTACCAGCGCCGTGATACCACTGGCACCTTTTCGTGGCTTCTCTCTCCTCAGGGGCAGCCTCCAGCTGCCTCCTGGGCGAGATCTGGAGCACGGTTCCCGCAGGGCACTGATCACCTCTCGCAACCCAAGGGCTCGCTCTCCTGGGCTGGGAGGAAAGGCAGGAGCACGCTTGGCGACGGAGCGTGCCTGGCTTCAGTCCGTTTTGCCTCACTTCCCAGCTAGCAGCTGTGGCGATCGGTGCGTACTGGGGGCTTGGAGAGAAGGCTGTAGTATTTGCTTCGTGGAGAGGCAGTGCCCAGATTTTATTCATCCATGCTGCCGCTAACTTTAATATTTTAAAGCTAGTCGTAACTGCGTTGTGGTTTTGTGAGGCTTCGCTGGTTCCGCCGCGTGGGCGACGTGGTTCGTTGCTGTGGTATGATGTCGTTCCCCTAAGACGAACGGCTCTGGTCTCTGTAGCTCTCTAAAGCCCCAGGCTCTGCTGTTCGCCCGTAACTTGTGCGTGCGGCGCCGAGGCGCTCTCACCTTTCAACGTGGGCTGGTCTTTAATTCATTTCTTCCTTTCTGCTCTTTTCCTCTTCGCCTCAACTGGTGCCCGTTTCCACGAGCTCCTTCCTGCTGCTTCTCGCAGACGGGGGTGTTGTTGGAAGGACTGCGGGACACGAACCCACCAGCGCAGCGCCTTGAGGACCGAACGCCAAGCTTTGCAGAAACACCAACCGTCACTGCGTCGGGCTTACCCTTCCCCCCCGCTCCCCGCGTTCGTGTTTAACCTCACGTAATCAGCGCACTGATTTCCTCCTTTTTAGCCTTGCCAACACGGGGCGGGAGGTCTCGGCGGCATCGCGGCCCCGCGGGGGCCCTCCCGGGCAGCGCCCTGCCCTCTCCTGCGCTCGCCAGCGCCAGCTCCCGCCGCGCCCCGCACGCCACGCTGCTGTCACGAGGCG